CTGCCTACCTTCATGCTCATAAAAAAGCAACCAACTTAAAGTTACCCAATCAAGGACGATTTGATAGATTTGAAACAGTAGATGTGCAAACAATCGACAATGATCGGTTGATTTGTGCACAAACATAAAGGCCTGTGCACAATTGATGAAGAACCAGCACTAACCTTGTAGTGTTTTACACGAAAGAGACCATATTGTAAAGGTTAAACGTGTCAAACAATACAAAAAATATATATTTATTTAGTGTCAATGAGGAGTTCCCACTAATTCTCATCTCTAATGTATCATTTGATTCTAGAGCATGCTCGAGGACCTCATGCAGTATTATTTAGTTGAGAATCAGACAAAAAAAATATATTTATTTAGTGTCAATGAGGAGTTCCCACTAATTCTCATCTCTAGTGTATCCTTTGCTTCTAGAGCATGCTCGAGGACCTCGTGCATTATTATTTAGTTGAGAATCAGACAAGATATGATATACTAGGGAGGATTCTCTTAGATTGAAAAGAGAATTTAGGAAGCAATGTAGATAGAAAAGAGAATTTGTTAACTTTTAGTGAGGACAAATAAGAATAGCATTATAAATTTCCAAATTTTCTAAGCTTAAAAATTAATTTTTTTCAAAATTAAGTGGAGTCAGTTGTCCCCATTTTTTTTTAGTGAGAGTGGAAGAGTTTGAACCTGAAATTAGAAGTATCAATTATAATTTAATTATATTGATCCATCCAAATCCACCCAACAATAAGCCATCCAAAACCGCCTATTAATTTTGAATGAATCTAAATGAATATTCAATTAAATTTATTTAATTGGTAGATAGTAAGTTGACTCAATTTACCCACTTATATCCATGTAAAATTGATTATACATAACCATCTAAGTATTGAAATTCACCCATTTAAAAATGACTCAAATGCAATATATAAACATAACCATCCAAGTATGAAATGCACATGTTTAACAAATAATATAAAATATAATTTAAAAATTATATACAGATAATTACTACGTAGTTTTTTTCTTTTTTTTTTTGGGCAAAGGGGAAAAGAAGAAAAAGAAATTTTGTGAATTTCATTCTACAGCTAAAAAGTTAACAAAACTTTTCGGATGGGTTTGTGCATTGAAAGCATATCGAGAAAGAAGTAAAAAAAAATAAAAAAGTAAAGTTAGTTTTTGTTGGTGGTTTTGATTATAAGTGAGAGGTGAAATATCCAGTTATTTATTTATAAGTTTGTTGAGTTATACAGGGGGCATATGGTTGTTAATTTACACATATATTAAGGATTTTGATAAGATTTACAACATGGTGGTAGATAGGCAGTATTAGCCTGCATATTGGATAAAATTCTTACATTGCACGCGCGCGCACTAAATATTAGATAATATTATCTAAATATTGGTATATATGTACACAACGATTTTGGCGGGAGCCGGACATCACAACTCTTCGTACCTTTTCGGGAAGCAAAATCCCACAGCTATGGCCCTCACAGAATCAGGACAATATGGAATTGGGGCCCCCACAGTGTCAGGAGAATATCCTCTTCCCCTCCTTTGCTGAATATGACTGATATGAGTGCAGCACAATCTTTAAGACTGGGCAAAAAACCTCAGCGGCCATTAAACTATTCGTCAGATCATGTTTTGGCCATCAAACTATTTTTCATCAACAATTGACCACTAAATAATTTAATCAATAAACCCGTGACCATTTGATCGATAATTGCTTTTAATCTAAGAAATTAGCAGAAATTAGCAGTACACGTAGTAAAGTGCAAGGGCAATTTTGTCCAGCAACTATGCGACCTTCTTCTCCCCTTAATTTACTCAATTGGAAGCCCTAAATCTCCAATCACATATCGAAGAAGGCAAAGAAGAAAACGAAGAATGTGAGGCACTGTCCTCCTGCCCGGTGCTTTCTATGTAATTGCCATTGTCATACAGTTGGGAATTTCGTCATTTTCGTTCCTAAACTTTTACACTAAAACCAATTTCGTCCTTTATGATTTTTTTTAGCCAATTTAGTCCTTCGACTATTTTGAAGTCTCTAATGTAGGACTTTTGCGGCGGCGACACCACATTTTACATATTCCCTATCACCGGTGATGGGTATATTTGTCATTTTAAATTAAATTCTTCAATTTAGACGGACTTTGACCATAGTTCTTCTTCTCCGATAGAAACCTCATCCTATTCACCAGAAATTCGCGCAAACTCTCTCACACACTCAAATCATGAAATAAAATTCACAAGAAAAAAAACAAAAAAATCAAGAACCATAAGAAAAGTGAAGCAAACATACTCTCAAGCAGAAGACGTCATTTATGCTGACCTGGACGAGATGACGAGCAAGGTGGCATCCGAGAGTGGAGTCAGCAGAGTTGAAAGGAATAGGAGATTGGTGGATGGTAACGGCGCCATTGGTGGGGAGACAACTGACGTCGTTGCTGAGTGGCTTACACGTGTCCAATGCTCCGATCTTAGTGTCCATGTTTTCGACCATGAGACGAGGACGGCGACGTCTAAGATGTCGGTTGTAGATGTAAGTAAAGAGTAGCGGTAGAAAAAAATGAGAAAGTTCCAGAAAGTTGGGGAGAAAAGATGGAATTCCAATCCATGGAGCTATTATGATATTTACCTTTGCTCTTTCTTTTTTTTTTTGGTGGGTTCGATAAGGAAGGGAATTTTTTTTTTTTTGCCTTGAGGCAGGTCTCGGCTTTTCTTTTGGAATGGGTGGTGATCGGAGCATGAATGTGGGAGCGCAAGTGTGTGTGTGTGTATATATATATATACATGGTTGGCTGGATGATCTCAGTTCTTAGAGCCCAGAGGGGTTACTAAACTTACTATGGCAGAAGGAAAAACAAACGGAGAAACCGGAAACCAGGGGCGGTCTCATCTTTTAACAAAGGGTGCCTGATTATTTTGATATGGCGGTGGGAATCGGGTTGAGGCACGCCGCATGTCTTAAAGGAGAAATGGCTCTCAAACATACTCTCAGCCTCAGGTCAACTTACAAACTCATTTTGTTTGGGCATTTTGTCAAACAGATTAAGCTCATCACAAAAATTGAATATTTCGTATGAATTTTGACTATGGCTAAGCCGAAAAAATCTTGTCAAGCCTCATTCAGGCAGAAAAGGTCAAAAGAAACAACAAAATTGCAGTAAGTATCATTGTCCAATTTCATTCATCTACAAAACAAAGCATACGGGAAGAAGATGGCAATTTCAACAGCCAAAAAAATCATCTCAACCTAGAGATTAAAACAAAAAAAGGATTATGGAAACCGCACATGCTTTCTTCATGATGATCTGTAAGTAGTGGTGGTTCTAGCAAGAAGATAGCAACTCCGGCAATGGTGATGGCGGCAGCGAGCTCCCCTTGCTCCTCAGATTCCCTTAATGCTTTTGTTGGTTTTTTGTTTGTGGTTCTTTTCTTCTTTTCTTGGAAAGAAAATTGAGTATACAACTCTAAAACTAAGATTCCGCAAGGATTTTGGAGAGATTCTTTTGAGTTCATATGAAACTCAAGGTAAAAAATGAATGATGACTAGTCATGAGAGAGTTGACGGATGAAAGCGGGTAGGTAGTGACAATTGGTGGTGTCTTTGATAGCAACTATGAACGGAGGATCGAAGAATCAGAACCAAACAAAATGAGCTTGCTGGTGAGTAGATTTAAAATTGTGTATGAGAAAGATTTCTCCTTCAAATTTTGTTTCAATTTTCCTTTTGGTTCTCAGTTTTCTAATGTTTTTCTCATGGATTTTGTTTCTTTGATTTGAGTGTGAGAGAGAGAGTTTGTGCAAGTTTCTAATAAATCCAGATAAAATTTTCAGTGAAATTCATCCGAGAAGAAGAACTATGGTCAAAGTCCGTCTAAATTGAAGAATTTAATTTAAAAAGACAGATATACCCATCACCGGTGGTAGGGAATATGTAAAATGTGGTGTCGCGCCGCAAAAGTCCTACATTAGAGACTTCAAAATAGTCGACGGATTAAATTGGCTAAAAAAAATCATAAAGGACGAAATTGGTTTTAGTGTAAAAGTTTAGGGACGAAAATGGCGAAATTCCCATACAGTTCCAAGCTCCAATTTTTATGGTGGAAAAACACGCAGTCACACACTCGGTGAATTCACTTATTGGCTACAGTTACTCTAAAGTAGTCAAAGACTGCCTCTTTCTATTTTAACCAAAATTTGAGCTTTTTGCTTTTTCAATTGACTTGGGAGAAGATCATTTCCATATATAATCACAACCCTTTATCAATTTCCTTCCCATTTCAAAAGTGATTCTCCCAAATTTGTTGTTATGCTTCCAATTCTTCTCTAACCCATTTTTCTACTTTTCGAGGAGGAGGAGAAAAAGAAGAAAAATCAGGTGGTTGTGGCTAGCGGTGGAGGCCACATGCACGGCTTAAGCAGGCTAGGTAGCGGCGTGAATTCTACGCCTTCTACTTCTTCGTCTTCTTCTGTTTTGCCTCCGTCTTCGCCACGGAACTGCCGCAGCAGGAACAATAAGAATTCTATTATTACAATCGGAAGTGGCGGTGGACGAGGCGGCGGAGGATTTGGGGAAATGAAGCTGCAGAATTTAGTGGAAAGGTTGGGTTTTGCGGTGATTTCAGGGGAGAATAGGATCGCGAAGTTGATGGACAAAATTGCCCCTGCATTTTATCACACGTATGGCTAATTTCATCGATTAAAAGCAATTATCAACCAAATGATCACGAGTTTATTGATTATGTTGTTTAGTAGTCAATTATTGACAAAAAATAGTTTGATGGCCAAAACATGATCTGATGAATAGTTTAGTGACCGCTGAGATTTTTTGCCCTTATGACTTTAACACCTACCCCACCTTTTTGAGAAGCTAGATCCCACAGTCGTACTCCAATTTCGAGTACATTTACATTTTGGACCTCGACCACAGTACAAAAATCCCATGTACAATCTTTGGTCTATTTAGACACTGCCACGGTCTTGCACTCATTTTCACGCACAAAGGTTGAAAGCAATGCAGAAGACAGTGTATGTAACAGGGGCTTCCGGCTTCATAGCATCATGGCTTGTCAAGTTCTTGCTCCACCGTGGTTACATTGTCAAGGCATCTGTCCGTGACCTCAGTAAGTATCCCTCCAAGCCCTTCGTCTTTCTCTTTTAGATTTAGCTTTTCTGAAACTTATTCCCCTCTCTGAAGTTGAAACTTTTGGATATTGGTTGTGCTTTAAGTTACATGGTATGAAGATTTTTTTTTAATTTTTAATTTTTGGGTTTTGTTTGTGAGCTATTGGATTCTTGTTGGTATTTTGCTTGAGTTTCTTGTGCAATTTCGTTTTCCAGATTAACGTACAATTCATGGGTGGCTCTGGGAATTGAAAATTCTGATTAGGTAGGTGTTCATATTGAAGATTGGAGAGATAAGGGCTTTTGTGATTATAAGAATGGAGAAAAAGGAAGGTTAATTTGGGTTTAGAATGTCAGAATTGAGGAATATCATGTAATGCAATATTTCTGTAGTAAAAATCTTGAGCTCCACCAAACTGCAATTTTATCGTTGGTTAATCCTCTGTTCTCTTGAATAATAACACGTGCACCTGTGACATATTGGAAATTTGAAAGAATTTGCTGAGGCTTTGACTGATGGTATTGTCTTAGTAGTTGGCAAGCTTATGGTTTGGAACATATGATAAACCAGAAAGTTTCGCTACCAATTTCCAGCTTATATATGTTAAAAGATGTAGCAGAACTCCTGTGGGCTTGTTTTATTTTCCTGAGCAGAACTCCTATGGTTGTGCTGCATTTTCAATTATTATTATTATTGTTGTTGTTGTTGTTGTTGTTGTTGTTATTTGTGGTTTTCTCATTAGTATGAGAACAGTAAAGTAATCCACGTTCTTTCTATATTCTGTCTTCTATGCAGCATTTTTTTTTATCTTGCGGTGGGGAAGGAAGGTTGGGTTTTTTTGGTTGGGGGGGGGGGAACTTGGGGAGACGAGATTTTGCTTCCTTAAAGAGATTACTCTTTGTAAGCTGATGGATGATGAGAAAGTACTAATGTACCTGTCATTTTGTGTCCTTTTCCTTCTCCTTTCTTCTCTAGTATACAGGTTCAACTACTGGAATTGTCTCCCATGTGATGTTAATCACCATTGACGTCATTGATATTCCCAAACTACCATCCTTTTCTAATTCTTGAAGCCATCATGTTGTCCAATCTTCCAGATGCTTGCGGTGTCTTACTAGTTAGAGGTCATCATCTGGTTTTGTTATTTCATGAAACTACTGTATCGAAGATAAAAGTTTTTTGCTTCTGAGCTTAGTGTTCTTGACTATGAGCTTTGGTCTAATTCATGTAAATCATGCAGATGATCCAAAGAAAGTGGCACACCTGCTTGCACTTGATGGAGCGTCAGAGAGACTTCAGTTGTTCAAAGCAAACCTACTGGAAGAAGGTTCCTTTGATGCTGCAATTGATGGGCGTGATGGTGTTTTCCATATAGCATCTCCTTTCCATGACCCACACAACGATCCTCAGGTCCATTGATCATTTCCTTATTCCTTAATTGAGTATGGATTTTCTTCATGTGTCGAAGTAAGACAAGAAGCCATAGGTTCTGCTATTTAGGTTGCAGATACATCTATGTTTTCTCATGGTTTACTCTCAAGTCACTGTGTATGTCTCTCGATGGATGAATGTTTCTCTTAAATAATGATAATAAACAAGGAAGCCCAATAGCCAATTGCAAACTGATACTGAATTCTAAGATCGAGCCTTTTTAGTCCATTAGTTCTGATGAACTTCTGTTCTTGGCTATGGGAATGTGAAAGAAAATGTAGTTGGTTTCAACAATTGCTTTAGCTAAATTAATCATTTTTAGATTAACACAAATATGTATGAGACACTATAGCTGGCTTTCAATAACTTCTTTAGCAAAGGCAAATGATGTTAGATAAGCTCAGGTCACTTCTTTAGCTGGTTCTCAATAACTTCTTTAGCAAAGGCAAATTGTTTTCTATAATCTCTGGTTGCTTCTAGTATGTAATCCTAACAAATTTGTGGCTCTATTGCATTTGGACATCCTTTATATCCAATTTGTAAGAATCTTATTAATAGTAGCATATGTGAAAAAAGATTGCAGAAATGTGCCAGAGTATAACCTAAAAATATTGTTGAATCTAGTAATGCTTTGTTGCTTGCCCACCCCAACCCACCCCCCTCTCCCCCCTCCTTCATTAAAAAAGAAAAAAGGAAAAAAAGAGGAAAAGAAATTTTAGTATGTGTTGGGAGCAGAGCATCTAAATGCTTTCCACTTCGTTATTACTTATTTCTGTTTTATTTTTCTTTTGTGTAAATGATTGGGCAGTTGTTCCAAAAATCCTATTAGAGAGGTATATATACATTTCAACTTCAAAAATCCAGGATGGTACTCAGTATGGTTCAACAATGTTGGCTCTAAAACCTTATAAATCCTGTGTCCTAAGTAAAAGTGGTCAAATTCCTTACTGTGGGAGTGCATTTGCTTGTCTTTTTGTACATTATGTGGAGTTTTTGTGAATTTGATCTCATTTTGTGTGGATATTCACATTCAGAATTAGTCGTATGCTGCACTCATTTTGGTGTAGCATTGAGTATTCTACTCTGTGCTTTCTGGTGTTGAAACTTTTTTGAAAGCCAATTCATTTGTTCTCAGGGATTAGATAGTATTAACTGCTTTTGTCATTAATATTATTTTTCCACATCTAGGAAAATAGTAAATACAGTCCTACTTGTCTCATGATGGAAGATACTAGATATCATCCTAGCTGTCTCATGAAAGAAGATACTAGATGTCATCCCTTGCATTTGCAAACTAATGGTAAACAGCTTGTTTTGAAGAAATAAGTAGGAGTTGGTGAGTTGTGAAGAAATGTAGAAGTATAGATGGTTAAGGTTCTCAGGCAATTTAGGTGAACCTAAAAAAGATAATATGGTTGTTTCACAACCAAAGATATTAACTTGGGCCAAAATCCAACTAAATGCAATTGCAACCCTAAAGGGACATGGATAAGGATGTTTTAATAGCTTCTCTGTGGCAAAAGCAAGCTTTTTAGTTTCTTGAATGAAAACTCATTTGCTCAGATTTGGGGTGTGTTAATTCTTCTAGGTGGAAATATTTTGCACTGAAGTAAACCAATGTCTGATTTCTGTCTAATGGCTATGACCAATTAACCACTGTCTGCTTAAAAAGAATACTTTGTTATCTGCATAGCTTTGTCAAAACCATTGTTCAACCTAAAATTAAAAGACTATTTAATTTAACTGGTTTTAGTCATCCTGGACCTCAATCTCTCTAAAAGCACAGTAATTACTCTAAAAGAGTCGGACTTATTGTCGAGTTTTTTGTACATGTTGATTTATGGCAGAGCTAATGAATATAAGAGGAACCCTGAAAAGCTGGAAAATATATTTGCGTCATGGAAAAAGCACTGTTCAATGAAAGTAAAGATACATGGTACTTTTTCCAAATACATCTGTAGTAAATATGTTTCATATGAACTTTGTTCCAGTTAGCAGGAATGATTTCTGATATCTGTCAGTCATCACTTATTTGCAATTCTTTTTTGACAGGCTGAATTGATTGATCCTGCTGTAAAAGGGACTCTGAATATACTTAAATCATGTGCAAAATCACCATCTGTTAAAAGAGTGATTTTGAACTCCTCTTTTGCTTCAGTTGGCTTCAATGGAAAGCCTCTTACTCCTGACGTGGTGGTTGATGAGACTTGGTGGACTCTTCCAGATTTCTGCAAAGAAACCAAGGTCTGTGAATGTCACTTTCTGTTCTGTGTAAGACATTATTCATGAATTTGGATAATGACCTGTAAACTATTTTCTGCTCTGACTAACATTGAAAACCATTTGATGTTGTTCCCTAAGCTTTTGCTTTACTTTCCTATTGCACTAATATATATCTTTCATTGAAAATCAGTCATTAGCTTAGGAATAGTTAATGGAAAAGCCAAAAGGTGACAACTTTTGGGATCAGCTGAAAACTGAATTGAAATTTCATAAGTTAAGACATGTTGTGAGTTGCTAAAGTTTTAAATCTTCAAACCAAACTCTGAAACAATTAACTCTAGATAATAATTAGAATCAACCATGATTCAAGATCCTTTTCTATATCTGGTTAAGTTCTCCATCATCTTGGGCATAGTATACATGATTATGTCATTGTAGTACACTTTACTGTGCTGGTCATGAATTCAAGATCCATGATTAATTATTTTATTCATCTCCGGAAATTACTTATCCTGCTTCCTGCTCAGTGCTTCTATCATGCTTCAAGTTGCTTTCCACCATAATTATCAGCATGATGCTGCTAGAAACTTGAGACTCTCTCTCTCCCCATGATAGACACCTTGCTCACTCAGACAAACTGTTTTCCGCGACTGGGTATTATTGCCTTTTAAGATACAGCCAATTAAAAATGGTTACTATTTAAAAAGGAAATATATATGATGTTGTTCTTTTTCTTTTACCTTCTCCTTTTCTAGTCATGGTACATTCTTGCGAAGACATTGGCTGAGGATGAAGCCTGGAAGTTTGTAAAAGAGAATGACATAGACATGGTTGCAATAAACCCAGCCATGGTGATCGGACCTCTGTTACAGCCAACACTTAACACCAGTGGTGCTGTAATATTGAACCTAATAAATGGTATGGATTTTTACATAAAGAGAAAGCAAACCAAATCTCTGGAACTTGCTCTTTTGGTTGGATCTGCTTAGTTATTATTTGAGGGCACAGACCCGTATGATATGCTGTTGGTAAACCTTTTTTTTCCTTGATTCTGCCTTTGAGGGAACCGAGAAAATTTTGAAGCTGTCCTTGGTGTTGCTACTGAAACCATAATTCAAGTTTATCGGCTTTAGGTTGTTGGCTTATTTTTGTTTATTTATTCATTTTTAACTTGCTCTAATTTTCTTAGTCTATACTTGCACATCTACTATATAGATACTTACATAATATACTTTCTTATATTAATTTCAGTTGAATGAGAAAGTTTTATTTGCTCAAAGAATAGAAATGGGATTGAAAGTTGCATGTTGAATAACAATGACTCAAGTTTGTTGTTGTTGGTGGTGTTGCCCCCCCCCCCCCTCCTGAATACTTGGTTGAGTCTTTGGTCTAGTGGACTATATACAATTACATCCAGTACTGTGAAGATTTACCCCAAACCACTTGCTAATCTAGCTATTGAAACCATATGAAAATATAGCGGAGAATGTGGGCGCAATTTAAATCAGGGTAGAACTTGTGATTAGCTGATTCAACTGAAAATCAACTTGAGACCAAATGAAAATGGCCAAACTACCACTAGAGAGGCCAATTTATGTGCTTGGGAGCAATGCACCGTGGAAGCCATAAGCTGAGCCTGTTTAGTCAATTTATTTATCCCAAGAATCTCATGGTAATTGGAGCAATGTGTCATGTAATTTGCCATGTTGGAAAGTTTGTTGTGAGTTCTCTGCCTGTTTAGTGGATTTGAATTTTCAGAAGGTGGATGACATGGTCATTTCACATTTGGAGTTTGGCCAGAGTCTTGTCTGTTTACAAGTGCGGCAGCAGGTGTGCCCACAATAATTTTTGTTTTCTTATAGCCTTTTTGTGTTGAGATGTGCATATATGTGTTGTTTATCTGGAACTCAAGTACCAAAATCTTTTGGGTCGTCTATCATGTAAAAAACTTATTTTGTTTGATCTAGTGTTCTTCAGGGAAGTTTTACTGCACTTTTTATTGTACTTATATCTAAGTTATAAATTTCCTGATGCTTTCTTAATTAAAGTAAAAAGGAAATGTGAAACAAACAAGTATTCAGCATAAGCGCAAGTATGCTTGTTGTAAACATTTTCTCATTCTATTTTACTCTCTCTGTTAGAAATGTTTGTACATAAAAGAAGATGATATGAACCTTGTCTTGCCCTTGACTGGATATATTGTATGTTCTAATTTTTTCTTAGCTGTTGTTGAATACTTCATATAACTTTCTTCACATTCTTTCCAGATATGCTAATGGTTTCACTCAGTTTTCTGTTTTCTGGGTTTTTGTCTCAATAGGTGCAGAAACATTTCGAAATTCAACATTTCCCTGGGTTGATGTGAAAGATGTTGCTAATGCACATATACTAGCTTTTGAAAATCCATTGGCTAGTGGAAGATACTGCCTGGTTGAACAAGTGGCACACTACTCCAAAGTTATGAAGATCTTGCATGAACTTTATCCTTCCTTAAAGCTTCCAGTAAAGTAAGTCCAAGATCTGTAATTTGGATTTGACGATGCATTCAGATGTACTTATCTAAATGTGCAATATAGGATCATGTTAGACTTATTATGAATTTCATCATTTGATCACATATATAATCCATATTTCCACGCTTCTACCTAGGGTAGACCATGCATCCAAAACTCAAGACGTGATAAAAGTTAGGAAACTCTCATGAAGAGTATCTTTGGAAACTGCACAGTTCCTTCATCTGAGTTAAATTCGTATTTGATTAAAACTTGGATGCATCTGATTATTACTGGTTACGATACACCTTCTGGTCGAGGGTGTTGAAGTTTTTACAAGATTTTGATTTTTTTTGTTATTTGAAATGGAAATAAGATACAGAACGTTCAGGAGGGTTAACATTTGCTAGCTAGTCAATTAAATTAGTACTTTATGGTTAAAGCTCTAGTCCTTGTTATGATGGTTTGGTTCTTGGGAATTTTTACTGCACATATATATGTCATTTTAGGTTTCAGAATGTTATGAATCGAGCATATCAGATGGCACATAGATGTTGGAGGTTTCTTTTGCCTTGAGATTGACTAGTAGATAACATATGTTGGAGGTTTCTTTTACCTTGAGATTGGCTAGTAGATAACATTGTCTTGCTGTTAACTAGGTTGCATTTCTGAATTATACTATTTCTATAGGGCTTGTTCTTAACTTTCATGTTACTCTCAGCCCAAATATGCTATTCTTCTGGTCTTAAATAAACATTTTCTTGTGCACATCAATCTCAAATGAGAAGGCAATATAAGCAGCAGTAACGTCAAGAACAATGAGTTCATTGTGTGCATTCTAGAAAGGTGACTTGTATCAGCTGACTTTGTTAGTGTCTGGATAAGCTGCCTTACTTCAAGAATACTTGTATATGATCATTTCACTTAATGGAGATTGATTCTTTCTGAAGTACTTTAAAGTAGTAATAATAAAATTATGACTATGACATGATCATAATATTTTCAGGATTATGATAAAAGCATGAATTTGTTATTTGCAAATATTCAGAACACTTTAGTACATGAATAGGGTTCTCTGCTAACTAAACCTGTAACTAGGAAATCTTGGAGGTAATATGCTTACATGTTTTGAAGTGTTCACCTGGAAGTTTTGACCTTTCGTCATAGCAATCAGATTTTTCACCTTTCAAATTTTGCATCTACTATTCTTTTTTTTCCATGTCCAAAAAAATGTGAGGTAGATGAACCCAACCAGAAAGAAATTAGAAAACTGACAGGAAATTATATTGTGTTTAAGTTAAGCAAGCTTTTATCGTTCTTTTGTCTTTCTGCTGTACTTGATGGTTTGACGAGGATAAACAGATTTTATGTGATGTTATACCTGAGATTGTCATGTCTTAAAGTAAGACATCCCTATATATGTTTGCCTATTGTGATTCATATCATGTCATCTGGACGCGATGAATTTTCATTTTAATACTTTCAGACATAATTGGACTCCTGAAGGATTGATAAAGATTGAAGAAAGCAAAAAAATCATGTATATAAGATTGCTTTTACTGGACGATGACCAAATCTGTCACTTGGTCTGATCCTTGTAGGTGTGCCGATGACAAGCCATTTGTGCCAGGGTATCAGGTCTCCAAGGAAAAGGCAAAGAGCTTAGGAATTGAATTCACTCCCTTTGAACAAAGCATCAAGGAAACAGTTGAAAGCTTGAAGGAGAAGAAATTTTTGGTCGCTTCAGTTGCATTGTGAATGTACCAAAGTTGATGAGGAACACTTCAAATTATTTCATTGCCTAATGAAAATATGTTGCACATTCTTTATGTGCCATGGCTCTCTGACTGGCCTTGTATGCATATGCAGGGATTTAGAAGAATCTGTGTATGCAATAATGGAGAGTACTCTACTTTTTGGTATCTTAAAAATTTGAACTGAAGTTAACAATTGGTACTACATTATATTTGCTGCTGCCAATTAAAGCTGAAGCATGTTTATGAGTTTGCTTGCGTGCTACAGCTGCAGTTTGACAGGATTTATCAAATAAAGGAGCAGCATTAATTGTACTATTTGGAGTAATAAATAATATGTCATTGCACTAAACTTCTATTTCTTATTGCGCCAATGTAAGACAAGATTAAAGTTCATGAACTAAATTAGTACAAACATAAGTTTTATGTGAACTTTGCATATTTTTACCAAAAAATTGCTTAAATTTACACTGTCTTGTTGATCGTGAATACACTAAATTTTAGAGTAGGCATTCTTAGTTGCAAACTAAAAATAATAGAGCATTTGATCATGACAATATAATATGGTTTTTTGGTCTCCTCGAGAGAAGGGGGGGGGTAGGGGGGAGGGAAAAAAATGAGTTTTTATTTTTTTGATATTGGAAGCAAATGAATTCTTTCCTGCTAACTTGATAAAGCTTCAAAAGATGGTAAATACTTGTGTAAATTTGGTCTAAGAGTCCACTTGTAGACTATATCATCTATGCAATATAACTATAACAAATCTCTTGTATCATTATATATTATTATTCAAAAAAAACTGTAACAATTCTCTTGTATCTTTATTAATCATTATTCATATTACTTCTACTACATTATTATATATCATTAGATGTGTGAATCACAACCTAATTATGTTGATCCGTCCAAACTCGTCCTTTAATTTTGAATGGGTTTAAATGAATACCCAATTAAGTCCATTCAATATGTGGGTAATGCGTTGATTCGACTGATCCATATATACATATTTAAAAATAATTATATATTTACACTCAACTTTTAGTAAGTGTTAAGTGAGGGTGCTCACCTCGGCAGAGGTGAACCCAGTTCGCCTTTCACACCAGCACGGTCATATCCTGCACACGACCCCTGAGGTCGGCCAGGTCTTTGGCCGTACTGCTTGGATGACCTCCAGGCTCCCACCTCGGCTGCACGCCGATGATGTCAACACATTTGACATCACACAGAGCCAGTGTTTTATCTGAAAAGCACCTGATGCTTTTAATGGCTATTACGCAAAGCTCCCCGTCATCAGGTCCAGGCGGCTACAGTGTCAGGGTCTGGCCTCCTGACAGGGAACAGAGCCGTAATGACCAGGACTTGGGTCCCACTAGCATGAGCCCCCCGTCCTACCTTCCACTCCCACTCTATAAATACCCCTCATGTACTCCCAACAAGTAAGCATACTGTTCATTCACACATACTATTATTTCTCTCGTTCTCATACTAACTTATTCGTCGGAGTGATCCCAGGGGAGAAGCCCCGCCATCCACCTCGGATAGGTGAATTTACCTCACCTCATCTCAGAGAGGACTGATTTAGGTCGGTCCAACTACCCACCAAAAATCACCTCTTCATTAAGCAAATAAAGTTCATGAACTGAACTATTACAAACATAAGTTTTATGTGAACTTTCATATTTGTACCAAGAAATTGCTTAAATTTACACTCTCTTTTTATCGTGAATACACTAAATTTTAGAGTAGGCATTCTTAGTTGCGAACTAAAAATAGTAGAGCACTTGATCACGATAATTTAATATGTTTTTTTGGTCTCCTCGAGAGAGAGGGGCAAAAGGGAAGAAAATGAGTTTTTTTTTTTTTTTTTTTTTGATATTGGAAGAAAATGAGTTCTTTCCTGCCAAGTTGGTAAAGCTTCAAATGATGGCAAATACTTGTGTAAGTTTGGTCTCTGAGTCCACTTGTAGACTATGTCGTATATGCAATATAACTATAACAATTCTCTTGTATCATTATATATTATTATTCATATTATTTCTACTATATAATAATATGAACAGAGGTGTCAATCATAATCTAATTATGTTGATCTGTCCAAACTCGCCCATTAATTTTGAATGGGTCTAAATAGGTACCCAGTTAACCCATTTAATTGGGGGTAATGCATTGATTCCATTGACCCATTTGTACATATTTAAAAATAATTATTTATTTAAACTCAATTTTTAGTGAGTGTTAAGCAAATAAATTTAAAATTTTTACTAATCTAATAACAATAAAATACCATTATTTTTTGTCAAACAACATGCAAAAAAATAGAAAAAATAAGTAAAATTTTAAATAACTCATAAATAAGTAACTGGATATTCCCATACCCATTTAATAAATGAGTGCGAATAGATACTGATTTATTTAAATGAGTATAAGTGATTGATCCAATTATATCAATTTACCTAATTATGATCCGCTCAAACCCGCTTGAATCACCGATTTTGACACCTCTATATATCACCATACCTATGTGGCTATAAAAATACACCACATAATCTATAAGTTAGTCTATAAATCAAGTCAACAGAATTTTTTTTTTCAGAAGATGGTGGTAAAGGCGTAAATTACAGGAATAGCATAAACAATGCTCAGTTACTTCTTAGCCTAGAGTCGAGGTTTAGTTAAAAATGATTTAATAGAGTATGAGCCCGAATATTTGGCACATTCGAAAAATTCTACGAGTTCAGCCCATTCTTAGCCGGACCTCAACAGAATCATGCTTTATTTATCGTTGTCTACGATCACTTGTATTTTTTTTCTTCTTTACTTATGTTTCATTGTCTATGATTTCATTTTAAATTTTGCATATAGTTGTTCTTATTTGAATCTATGTAGTCGATCCTGTTTATGTCCTTTCTTTGTTCTTCAGTATATGTTTGTATGTACATCGAAGCTTTCCTTTTTATCGCAAGGTAATCTTGGTGCATAGTGCCTTATTAATTTTGGACAACCACAAATAGGAATTAATTATGCAGTTTGCTTTTAGATTGTAATTAATCATGTATCATTGTGATTTACCATGCCAATAATCCTAGAAGGAATCATAATTTTCAAAGTGATAAATTTGTTGAATTGTCAAGCATTACGGCTTGATTTGTGTGGCAAACATTTCCGTCCCACATCGATGGCAGCCAAGGAAAGCCCTCCGTTGTTTTCCTATAAATAGGGAAGCGTATGAAGGTTTAAGGTGCACCACTCAAGAGAGTTATATGGGCTATTAGTTTCTTGAGTCATCTAGCTCATTTAGTCAAATATTTTAGACTCCCTTGTTTTGAGTTTAGGAATATTTTCTAAACTCTTTTATAAGTGCCTATTGGCCTAGGAACCACTTTCCTACGGCTTTTGTATTTCTTCTTCATAGTAGAAATATTACTCCTCTCTCGCCTGTGGACGTAGGTTAATTTGACCGAACCACGTAAATCTTCTGTGTCTTTTATATTGCTTTGTTATCTGTCTTTATATGGTTGGTTTCTACCGCCTAATTGTTATATGGCTGGTTTCTACCGCCTAATTATTATATGGTCGGTTATACCGCCTAAATTGTGCTAACTTTAGTTTGTCTATTCCTGGGCCGGTTCAAACAAACTGGTATCAGAGCTGGTTGTTATATTTTGCAAGACAGGTTCATTTCGTGGGGCCCGTTCATTTGGTGGGGCCCGTCCATCCTGTGGAGCCCACTCATCCTGTGGGATCCGTTTATCCGTGGGGCCCGCTCACCCTGTGGGGCCCACTCACAAGAATTGCATATTTTGACCAGTTTTTTGAGACAAACTTCAGGTTACAGATTTTGTGGCAACAATGATGATAACAAAGACGGTTGTCGAGAAATTCGACAGAAATGTCAACTTCGGCATGTGGCAGCTCAAGATGGAGGCCATTCTTGTTCAAGACGGAGTTGACTTGGCAATTCAAGGAATTGAGAAAAAGCCAGAAGATGTAAAGGATGCGGATTTCGCCGATATGGATAAGAAGGCCAGATCCAGCATAATCTTAAATCTCTCCGACGAGGTTTTGCGTGAGGTAGCAACAGAGATTTCGGCCAAGGCTATGTGGGATAAATTCAAAGCCTTGTATATGAAGAAGACAGTCGAGAATCGACTATATTTGAAGCACAGTTTGTATATGTTTCGGATGTCTGAAGGTACATCTATACTCTCCCATCTTGATAAATTTGATTCCATTATTATGGATTTGGAGAATATAGATTCAAAAATTGATGATTAAGATCAAGCCCTATTACTTTTGTGTTCCCTTCCCCAATCCTTTAAGTATTTCCGTGATACTATGATTTATGGAAAGGAAACAATTTCGTATCGGAAAATTAAATCTGCATTAAAATCTAAAGAGCAGATAGATAGGGATATTACTGGGGAAACTAGTGGGAGTCAAGCCGATGGCTTGTTTGTCAGGGGTAGATGTGAAAAGAGAAACACAGAAAGTAGAAGTAGATCGAAATCCAGACATAAAAATGTGGTGTGCAATTATTGTAAAAAGAAGGGCCATGTTATTTCTGATTGCTTTAAATTGAAAAATAAAGAAAAGCAAAAAGGAGAAAAGGAGTGAAACCACCGAGGCTAGTATTGCCGTTGATGAGAATGATGGAACCATTTTCTGTGCAACAGAAAATAATTTTAGGTCTAACAATGAGTGGATTTTAGATTCGGGTTGTTCATATCATATGTGTCCCAATAGGGACTGGTTTTCAACATATGAATCAACTGAAGGTGGAGTTGTCTTAATGGGCAACAACGTTGTTTGTAAAGTTGTTGGCAAAGGCACAATCCGGATTAAAATGTATGATGGTATTATGAGGACCCTCACAAATGTTAGACATGTTCCAAATTTGAAGAAAAATCTCATCTCTTTGGGTACTCTTGAGTCTATTGGGTGCAGGTATTCAGGTGGAGATGGAATTCTCAAAATCACTCGAAGAGCTCTTGTTGTTATGAAGGCACACAGATCTAGTACTTTATATATTTTGTAGGGATCTACTGTTACAGGTGCTGCTGCTGTTTCAACATCATCTTTATCAGATACAGACATCACCAAATTATGGCATATGCGTTTGGGGCACATGAGTGAAAAAGGTTTGGGCATACTGAGCAAAAGAGGACTTCTTTGTGGACAAAGTACCGGGCCATTGGAATTCTGTGAACATTGTATTTTTGGGAAGCAGAAAAGAGTCAGTTTCAGTTCACCAGCAATTCACAAGACAAAAGGTACTCTTGATTACATTCATTCAGATCTATGGGGTCCTTCTCGTGCTCCTTCTAAAGGTGGTGCCAGGTACATGTTGACTTT